TGCCATGTGTGTGACGGGCTGCCGGGAGAGGGCGGGGGGAGAACGGGCTTTCCAGTCACCACGGCAACCAGCGCGGCTCCGTCCGGCCTCCGACCGGGCCTACGCTGGGGGGCGGCCCTCTACGTGCCCGCCCGTCCGCCCGCCTGCCTCCCCACAGCAGCCACACCGACAGCGCCCCGCCCACCCTTCGCGCTGCGCGGTGTAGAGAGCGCCGCACAGGGCATCCCCGCCTTGCCCGCACCCCCAAACAGACAGCACTCTCAGATCACCCCCGACAGCACCTTACTCCTGCAAACACCCTCAGATCACCACCCACATGGAAAGCGGCCCTCCTCCTCACAGCATCCCACACTGAGTGCATGTCCCCATCAGAGCACCCACACAGAGAGCACTCCATCCCCTCACAGCACCCACACCGACCTCCTTGTGCAGCATCCTCAGACCACGCACACAGCCCCCTTGCAGAGAAGACGGCACCCCTTCACAGCACCCTCATATCACCCTCCACATAGAAAGTACAGACAGCATCTCACCCCTTTACAGCTGCATAGAGAGCACCATATCTCTTCACATCATCTCAAACACTATGTCGCACACAGACTGCACCCCCACAGGTAGCATGCCACCCCTTTGTAGCACCTTCACACACATCACTCAACATAATGAGCAGGCTGCACAGCACCCCTCACACCTACACAGAGAGCACCCCATACAAAGTGCAACTACACATCACTTGCCACACAGACAAGACCTCTGGACTCCCCCCCATGCCTCACCCTTTCATAGCATTCCACTCATCAGTCTTCGGACAACCATACCCAACACACCTCACCCTTTCATAGCACTCCACTCATCAGTCTTCGGACAACCATACCCAAAGCCCTCACACTCAGAAAGCACCCCTCACTGCCCTCACATTGCGTCCCACAACAAATATAGAACACCCCAACTTCACAGCACTCCACACTCAGAATATTTCACAATAGCCTCTTCACACACAGCACCCCACCTCTCACCCCCAAACACAAGGATGGCACCCATTTAGAGAACCTCACTCACAGAGGCAGCACTTACACACAATTCTTCACACATAGCATGCCACATACTCAGTGCCCCTTGCCTCTTTTGTAAAGTGCTTTGAAATCTATTGATGAAAAGTACTATCTGAAGGATTAGTATTATCATGTTATTATAATATTAGTATGCTACTACACACAAATGCATAAACAGTATCTCACATATAGTATCCCCCGCAGCATTCCATACATATGCACAGCACCCCACAGTCACTAGTCCCACACTACTCCCACTTCCCTCTCTGTCACATTACCGGTACAGTTACTTCCCACTTATTACCACTCATACACAATACCCCCCTACATAGAGAACCAGTTCCCACAAATCACCTCTCACTCATTGCACACACACAGTATTCCTAACTGTGCAAGTCTCCACCACAATCAGCAGCCAGTCACTGCTCTCCACAAAAACATCACCCTCTAGTCCATACAAAATAGCCTCCTCACTTATGCACAAGTGCACCCGATACCCCATACACACAGTTACCTCTCATTCATTCCCCTAGTTCTTCAACCATCCATAAAGATTTCCAAGATAGGAAAGACTCCAGTTTCTAATTAGCTGAGCACAATGACATCTTACACTCAACTCAATGGTATTTCTCTGTTCATCCAGGAAATACCAGATTTAATATATTTAATGTTTTAAAGATAAAAAAATAAGCAGGTAAATATCTTTTAACTTTTTTCTGAATAGCATGAGCTAAAGTTTAAGAGCATACAGTGAAATGGACTGTAATGAAGTGGTATCTATTTATCATTGCTGGTTAGTGACAGAAACAAGAGTTTGCCATTGAGCAAAAGAGAAATTATTTCCTTCAACAGTAATAATATTTAACATTAGATAAAAGTTTTTCTTTATGTGCTTATTCAGATTTCACCCAAAATATCTACTTACCATTTTAAATAAAAATTAAATGTATAGATCTCAGAGTAATTATACATTTTACAAATGTTAATTAAACCTTTGGGTAAATACATAGGAGAATCTAGGTCACTCATCAGTCTTTCCTGAATTCTAGGTATTACTATTACTTATTCCAATACCCATTTTACACTCAGGGAAGCTGATACACTAAGGCTACGTCCACCCTGCAGAGTTTTTGCGCAAAAACTTATATCCACCCTGCAGAGTTTTTGCACAAAAACTTATGGAGCATCCACACTGCAAGTGCATTTTTGTGCAAGAAAAAGTACAGTAGATTGTCAGAAGACAGGGCTTTTTGAGCAGGAGTTATTCCTCTTTCTATGAAGAATAAGCCTTTTTACTCAAGAGCTCTTGCACAAAAAGAAGGCATGTGTATACGGACAGGAGGGGTTTCTTATGCAAGAAACCCCTATTACGGACAGCAGGGGTTTCTTATGCAAGAAACCCCTATCGGAAAAAGGACAGGTGCTCTGATGGCCATTCACAGAATGGCTATCAGGGCTTTCTTGCGCAACAGCGTCCATGGCAGTGTGGACACTCTTTTGTGCAAAAGCACATCTCTTGCGCAAAAGCCTGCGCAAGCACATCTCTTGCGCAAAAGAGTTCTTACACAAAAAAGTCTAAGTGTAAACTTAGCCTCCATTCACACATTTTTAAGTCAGGATCAGAGCTGGGAATGTGGTATGCTGAAATTGTGATTCCCAATTTTTTGTGCTAACTACTACATTACAAAGCCTCTTTATTTTTATTCTGATTGTTTCTATACCTCTGTCAAATCTGAAACTAGTTAATACGGTTTTTTAAGTTTTAAAGGTATAATCACAGAGAATCCCCCTGGCTTTGCTTAAAAAAATTGTGCTATTCTTTTAACATTCTTATTTTATACCCTGCAAATCTGTCTACCTGCTTACAACAAATGTTAAGTTTTGTCCAACACCAATCCCAATTATCATCTCCCCCTTAATCTTTTCTGAGTACTACTTCCTAACCTTTTGCAGCACTTGTCTCTAGGAGAGAATACCTCCGTGCCTGTACACCAAGGCTGAGAGACTGGTATAGGTTCTAGAATATCTTTATACTCCAGTACCTCTTCTTGAAAGTCCCCGGTTCTCTTTTCTCCAGTGACATCTGCATGAAATAAGATTTGGACCCGCTGTTTTCTCCTAGAGGTGATCTCTATGGATACAAAGTCCCTTCATGTAAATTAATATTCACCTTTCAAGGGTTGAATGAACAATCAAGCTTAGATACCAACACCCACAGACTAGTTTGCATGTCTGTCCCAGCCAGTTTTTGTATTGTCTTTTTCAAATGGACACACTAGTATTTTCTTCAATAGAAATTCTCACACAGGCATTCATTTGCCATTGTCAGGAATTGTCAATTAAGGATAAATGTCCAGATATCTGTCACAGTGCTCTTGGAAGCCAGACATACCATCTGAGACTGAATTGCTTATCCTTATTTGCAATCACACATATTCACCACACTTACAATGGAAAGTGACAGTGCTGCACTCCCTATTGTGGACTAAGGCCTAGACTTTGTGCAGCACCAAGGCCTAGATGAATTACCTGTAGCCTACTTGCTCTGCTCTTCTGAACCAGTTATAAGGGCATATAGCAGTGCTTTGCTTAGGGCCCTTGGGGCTGCAATGCACTCCAACCTGCCTATCAGGAAAAGTGGGCATGTTTAAGGTGGAATGTACTGTCATCAAGGCCTATTACACAACATGATGTACACACAAAAGGTCATCTGAAGAAATGGGCTGTGCCCACGAAAGTTCATGATACCATCTACATGTTTTGTTAGTCTTTAAAGTGCTATCAGACTATTTGTTGTTTTTTAAGTGTATCCTGTACAGACTAACTCGGCTATCCCCTGAAACTTTTCAACACAAAAGGGAAGTTCGTTTACCTCAGTACCAATTGAATCTGATCCCACATTGAGTCAAACACTGCAGTTTCAGTACAGCAATGTCACATTTTGTGTCATAAAACAATGTCTGAAAAACATGAATTGACCCTGAAAGAGTAGATGTATCATCGTTCTAACCATAGTACTGGTCTGTTCTGATTGAAGGTAGCATTTTTTTTAGTTAACTGTAATGTATAATTTAATCATTCACACATTCATGCACTGTCTCTTTCTCTCTCTCTCCCCTTCACCCTGAACCTGCAGTCATAGGCTGTGTCTAGACTGGCAAGTTTTTCTGCAAAATCATCTGCTTTTGCGGAAAAACTTGCCAGCTGTCTACACTGGCCGCTTGAATTTCTGCAAAAGCACTGACGATCTCATGTAAGATCATCAGTGCTTTTCCTGAAAAACTATACTGTTCCTGTTCAGGCAAAAGTCTTTTTCCAAAAGACTTTTGCACAAAAGGGCCAGTGTAGACAGCATAGTACTATTTTCCATAAAAAAGCCCTGATTGCGAAAATGGCGATCGGGGCTTTTTTGCGGAAAAGCGCGTCTAGATTGGCCATGGACGCTTTTCCGCAAAAAGTGCTTTTGCGGAAAAGCATCCTGCCAATCTAGACGCGCTTTTCCAAAAATGCTTTTAACGGAAAAGTTTTCCTTTAAAAGCATTTTCGGAAAATCATGCCAGTGTAGACGTAGCCATGGAGTCTGCAACTATACTGTTTTAGGTCCCAATCTGGAAAATGCACATGCGGAGTTCTAATGAGTTCATACGTGTTAAATGGAATGTGCATTAAGTGTTTGTGGAAGTGAGACCCTACATGTTATAATAGGTTTTCCATCAAAGTCT